GGCATCCACATGGCATCCACGTGGTATCCACGTATGTATCTACATGGCATCCACGTGGGCAAAAGTTAATTAACTCCGTTTAAATAATTTGGACAGAAGTCCTAAATTGAAACCAATTAATTTTTAAGGGACCAAATTGAAACCAAAAATTAAAATGAGACTAAATTGAAACAAACAATTAATATAAGGGACCAAATTAGTGTTTTAGCCATGATTTTATGATCAATTTTAAACGTTTGATGAATGATTCTTTCATTTTATGTATGAACATGTGCTATCGGATGTTCAATATCAATTTCCATGGACATACAATACTCATTAAAAGAATGAGATGTGAATTCACCAGCATTATCCAAACGAATTTTCTTAATTGGACAGTCAGAAAAATAAGCTTGTAATTTAATTAGTTGAGTTAATAATCTCGCAAATGTCTGATTGTGAGTTGATAATAAACAAACATGCGACCACCTTGTTGATGCATCAATTAAAACCATAAAATATATAAATGGTCCACATGGAGGTTGTATTGATCCACAAATATCACCTTGTATTCGTTCTAAAAGTAAGATAGATTCATTCCCAATTTTTGTTGGAGATGATCTAATTATTAATTTCCTTTGGGAACAGCGGTACATGAGAAAATATTGGATTGAAGAATCTCCTAACTTTTCGATAAGAGTTCGCATGAATTTTCAATTATTTTTTACATCATGGTAGATCCTGGGTGACCCAATTAGTCATGCTAAACCTCAAATTTATTTTGATTTGCAAGTTTTTGGTTTACAATAATATGTGTTTCAACTATATTAATATACATGTAATATAGTTCATATGAGAAAAAAAATTTTCAATACTTCATTTTTATTCAAGTGAAATTTCGTAATATAAAAATATTCTACATTTTCTTCATTGTTTGTTTCTATATGGTACCCATTTAAATTATTACCCTTGAAACTTAATAAATTTCTACAAGACTTAGAAGAATATAATGCATTTGTAATATGCAACTTCGTTCTTCATGGTAACAATATATTAGCTCTTTTAAAGATTTCAATTATATTTGAAGCACCAGATATAATACTAATATTGATTTCTCACATTACTAAATTTGAAAAAAAAATTATCATTCTTGAAAATTGTGAGTTGTTGCACTATTAGAGAGACACATTTTTATTATTGATGTAGTGTCAATACTCATTTTTCATAAAAAAGTTAAATGTAAATAAGCAATATAATAACATTTTAAATGATAATAATCTACTAAGAATATATATATACATAGTTCAATAATATCAAAACATAAAAAATATTCAAAACTCAATAATAAGAAAGAAGAGAAAATAAAAAAAATTATTTCTGGATACTCTCATCACCAATAAGGTGATTAATTTTTTCATTTGGATCAACAAAGAAATCAATAACATCTAAGTGAGTAACATCCATATGACCATAATCTGAACCACCGTCTTCATAAGTAAAATGTGTCTCTATCTTTTTCTTCTTATTTTTAAGTGATTCTTGGTAAATTTCAACAAGATGCATTTGTGTACGACAGGTATGTGACCAGTGACTCTTGCCACCACAATGATAGCATTTGTTTTCCTCGTGTCTGTTACCATGTCCACCCGTTTCCTTCTTATTTTTTCCATTATTTTTCCACTTCTTGTGTGAAAAATTGTTATTTACCTCATAACCATGACCATAATTGCCTCCATAGCCACAATCATGACTATTTTCATAGCCATGACCACGACCACGATCATGAGTTTGTCCATTCTATGTTGCTACATTCACTTCTAGGAATGGAGCATAACTTGATGATCGAGCCTCATGATTTTTCAATAAAAGCTCATTATTTTGTTTAGTCACAAGGAGGAAATAAATTAATTCAACATATTTCTTAAACCCTTTTTCTTGATATTGTTGTTGCAGGAGTACATTAGATGGATAAAAAATGGAGATTTTTTTTTTCTAACATGACTTCATTAGTAATTTTTTCTCCACACAATTTCAATTTATAAATAATCCTAAATATTGCATAATTTTATTCACTTACATATTTGAAATCTCATAAGCGTAAATGCATCCAATCATAACGAGCTTTTGGGAGAATCACAATTTTTTTATGGTCATATCTTTTCTTTAAATTGTTCCAAAGAACATGTGGGTCTTTTATGATAAGATATTCAACTTTTAACCCTTTGTGAATGTGATAACGAAGAAAAATGATAACTTTAGCCTTATCTTGATTAGATACTACATTTCCTTCTTTAATAGAGTCTTTACGACCTATTGCATCTAATTGTATTTCAACATCTAATATCCAAGATAAATAATTCTTTTCCATAATGTTAAAAGCAACAACTTCAAGTTTTACAATATTTGACATGTTTAATACTTAAAATATTTATCTTGAAAAATATAACTTTTTTTCTAGAAAATCTTCATAACTTTGTCTTGCAGGTTGAAACACCAATAGATGAAAGACTATTGAACTGATAACATGTTATGAAAAGAAAGATAAAGTAAAGAGAACAAATAAAACAATATGAGATAGATAAAAAAATCTGACTAGTGTATTGTCTTTGAAAAAGACTAGCCTATTTATAAATGAATGTGATAGTTGAACAATTACATAAAAAAAGGATGTAACAAAAATATAAATGGTAATAATTGACATTAAATATTGACATTCACTAATTGAACTATCAAGTATTATTCATAACACTTAGAAGGAAGTTTCAAAAGCAAACTACTTCTAAATGATATGTTAACATCACTAGAATAAAAATACATGATGATGTCAGCATTGCTTAAAATTCAAGCCAACTCTAACGGACCTATTTTAGAGTTTATAAAAGGAAGACAAAGGGAATTGTTTGAAATAAGTAAGATAAAAGAGAGTCATCAAAATACAAACTTTCATAACTATAATCTGTGCTTCATACTCTATTTTCACGGATCTCATCTTCTACATTTGTAAACATACGTGTAATAGAAGAAGAAAAAAAGTGAGAATACTTTCTTAGTGGAAGTTCCTATCCTAGGAGAGTTACATAGAAACCTTTAACAATTGTCAAGGCTTCTCAAATCTGTAAGCACATTTGATTGCCATTCTTGAATCTAGTATGTGGAGGGAAAGAAAAGGTAGAAAAGTTACAACCATTTGGTTGTGGTTTGACTCATAATTGTGGACTGTGAGAGTAGTTTACTAAACAGGTGTTGAGGGTTACTTAGCAGTTGGCTAAGGGTGATTACACAAATAGTATGTGGTTGGTCTGTGTAGGGGAAATCCAACAGGTATTAGTGGTTTACTCAACAAGTGTTGAGAGTTACTTAACAAGTAGCTAAGAGTTTATTATTAGAGTAGTTATTATTGATCGTAGTGAAAAATCTCACGGTGTATGTGAGGACTAGACTGAACGTAGTCCAAGGTTGGATGGACCATTATAAATTTATATTTGCAATTCTCTTACCTTATCTCCTTTACTTGCTTCAACTATTTATTTTTAATTATAAATGTAATGCATACTCAACTGTTATGTAAAAATCAGCTAAATTTTTTTATAAGAAATAACCAAGTCTATAGAATCACAAGCATCAATTTTTGAAGAATTACTTCATAAAAAATTATTTAGAAACAAACTTTGATAAAACTAAGGTGATAAAAACATTCAAAAGCACCTACTCTTGATTATCATAATTTTATAAAGACTTAATCTTTAAGAAACGGGACAATTCAAGCTTTTCTCTTGTTGGTTAACATGTACTTCACCAATCTTCCAAACCAACTAAGAGATCGTATTTTAGACACTCTGGTCCTAAACACTCATGAGGCGAAGGATACTTTCACTTGGAAGGAGATCCTCCTGATTAATACTCTGGCCGGTGGGGGTATAGATAGCTTATTAGTTCTGGTACCACGCAGCATGACACAATTTGGAGAAAGAAATCTTTTCTTTGGCTTGCATAATGCATTTCACCAAGCACTACCAACAAACCAGAAAAGATACGATAATGACCTCACCCAGATTAGTGATCGTCCAAGATGCTCCAATTCAGTGGCGATGAGATTGGCAGATGGATCTCACAGGATTTGCTCACGGTGATCGGCTATAGGTGGCATTGCAAGCTTGCTTAGATGGCCTGTTCCACTGTTGGGTTCTAGGCTTGAAAGATATTATTATTGAAACAACTTGCATTGATGCGGCACAAGCAATACAAGAGCGTGATGTAAACAGAAGAAGAATAAGAAGATGACATATACACTCAGAACTTATTACATGGATTAGAGACCTAACTCATAAACAATGTAAAGTTAAATGAAAAAACAAACAATATCTTATGCCACTTAACCCCAAATTTCACTCTTGAAGCTTCCAGCAAAGATATGTTAGGAGTATATTAGTTTTTATTTTGATCTTTGTCTTAATTTCTTTACGGTACCACAAAAAAAGAAAAGATTTATAGTAAATCCAAAGTGATGGTCATACAAAAACAATTTTAGAAACATAATTAAAACTAAAAAGTTCAACACACTTCGTACTAGTACGTAAACGAGATATTAAATGATTGTAAATAATTATTTAAAGAGAATATGAAATTCTTTTCACATTAAAAAAATATAATAATTTATTAAAAAATGGAGATAAAAAATAATAATAAATTTTGATATCTCATTTAAAATAAAAATAAAAATAAATAACTCAATTTATAATAAGATTTGAATTTTATATTTTATAATTTTTTAACATCAATTATTTCTTAAAACTAAAAATAATAAATATTTTAAAAGAATTTGACTCCAATATATAAATAAAAAAAATAAAAAAATGAAAATGATTTTATCAAAAAGATAAAATAAATCCTAAAATAAAGGGATTAAAAGTGTAATTCAGACATATAAACAATTAATTTGGTAGGTTGTTTAGAGGTTATTAAGGAATGTTTAAGAATTAGCATGAGTGTGGTCCAATGATTGTCGTGGAAGAAAAGGAGATGCGTGGTAATGTTATGTTTGAATTGGGACAGAAAGGGAGTGAAACATGGTTTCCCACAGCCACAAGAGGCCTTACACTGTGGCCACCCTCTTCTTCTTCGCATTGTTCCTTCTCTCCATCTTCCTCTTCTTCTCCACCAGAACTACTTTCCAACCCGCTCCCTCCATCCACTCAGATCTTTACCTCCGCCTCCAACCTCTCCAACCTTCTCCTCCGCCGCAGGAACACCAATTGCCCCTCGCCACCCCAACCCCACCTGCCGCTGACATTGACGATGTCACCGACGCCGAACCAGATCCCCAACCGGTAACGGAAAGTGTTGGCGACGATGCAGCGGTGAATTTGAACAAGGAGTGTGATTTGTTCACGGGAACGTGGGTGAAGGATGAGAATTACCCCATTTACCAACCGGGGTCTTGCCCTTACGTCGACGAGGCTTATGATTGCAAAGTTAACGGAAGGACCGACACTCTCTACACCAAATGGCGTTGGAAGCCTGATGGATGTGATCTTCCCAGGTATTCTTCTTTTATTTTAGGACCACATACAAACTCTTATTGCTACTTCATTTGCTAATTTATGTTACTCTTTTGTTCTCTCATGTTCATACCAGCTTATAGGGAATGAATCCTCTTGCATTAAAGGAATTAGTTGGAATTAACCTTGCTGCATGCCAAATTAATAATATTTGGAGAACCATCCTGTTATTTTCGTTGAGCTTATCAGGCTACCCATTATCCGGCGTTATCCGAGCACATGCAGATGTTCTATCTTGCAAATTTTACACTTAAGATGTCTAGTCCTGGACCTAAAACGTGTTTATCGAAGAATCCACATTCTAAGAAATAATGTCAAAATTTTTAAGAATGATTGTCTTAATATATTCAAGTACGAGGATCTCATATTTTAGGAATGTTTAGAGAGAGTTTGAGTAAATTTCTCTTTGCATAAACTTGATATGGATGTTCCCCATGGGGGACCATCTTGAGTTAAACAACTTTTGCGTATCAAAACATCTCAATGAGCGAATTATTGCTGAGCATCTAATTTTAATGTATCAGACTCGGCTGCAGATTCGTAGGTGATTGGAGGAAAATGAATTTTCAGCACTTGGATTTTTGTCTTTGGGCTAATTTGGATTGAAGGGCTCTAGAAATGGTACCCATACTTGTGAAAATTGAAAGAAAAAAAAATGTACCTAATTAGTTTGGTTCTCTAACACATGGTTTCTGTAGCAATGTTTCAGGCAATGGGATCTATATATATTTTTTTTTTGGAAATGTTTACAGATTTTTGAACATTTCTTCAGATGCTGACAAGTGGAAACTCAACTTGAAATATCAAGAAGCATATTCTATTCTTTCCATATTCTTAGAATGCAAATTAACCCGGCATCATGATTTTTTGACTGTAAAAGGAAACTGGTTTTTTTTATCCTTTCTCAGTTTATAACTTTTGACCATCTCATTTATACCATCTCAATAATATACTTGAGCTGTTAACATATGAGTAGACCTATAAATCATCATGCATACTTATAGCATTTAAATTCCATTGAAGCTTAGCTGGGAGTGGTATGCTTTGTTGTTAATTATTTCCACATTTCACCTTTAAAAATATTAACTGATGGTCATTCAATGTGTGCTATTTCTTTGGTTGATAAATGGAAATGCCGAATCCTGTTCAGTATGACATAATGAAGCAGTAACTGATTATTTTAGTTTCTCTCTGTATTCTCTTTGGATATTGTTGACCACTAGCAACGTGCTGTTGTTATTAGGTGGCCTTCAGGCAATGGTTTAGCTATATCTCACAATTTTTATTTTTCTCATCGGATTTTCAACTTTTAATTTTCTTTTAATAAAAGCATCTCCTACACTCTAGCGTGATGTAACAGTTAATTACTTATAGTCACTAAAGTGTTTTTCAAACAGCTATCTTTTGTTTTTCATCTTTTAGTAGTTTACTGAAAAATTAACTATCCATATCTGCTTCATTCATTTCTTTCCAATATTACTTGAAGGTTTAATGCTACAGACTTCTTGGTGAGACTGAAGGGTAAAAGACTAATGCTGGTTGGAGATTCTATGAACCGGAACCAATTTGAGTCCATTCTTTGCGTACTACGTGAAGGCCTGCAGAATAAGAGCAGAATGTATGAGGTACACGGACACAAAATAACAAAAGGAAGAGGCTACTTCGTTTTTAAATTTGAGGTAAACTTTTCTGTTTCCTTGCATATGTAGTTTCTTCTGACTTCTAAGAACTAATAGCAAGACCTGCTTTTATACTGTTGTTTTTTCTTTTAGATTTTTTTTTCTTCTATTCAATTTTTTTTTTCTCTAAATTTGTCTCTTCAAGGTCTGATTGACTTGAATTAAAATTGTTTGCAAAGTATAAATTTATCCAGCAGATGGTGAAGTTTCTTTTCTCTCCCAAAAAATGAATTCATCTATCTTACAAGTTAAAACTCCATAACTTCCTATAAAGTAAAGTATTTGTATAATCATGTGAAATTTGCATACAAAATGATCAGGCCAGCTGGACTGCATTATTTTCCTGTATCAAGCAAATGTGGATGACAGACTGCAGTTTGTTGTACTAAGATTTTGGAATGCCTGGACAGGACTATGATTGCTCAGTGCTATTTGTGAGATCTCATTTCCTTGTGAGGGAAGGAGTTCGTCTTAATGCACAAGGGAGCTCAAATCCTACATTGTCAATAGATCGGATTGACAAGACATCGGGTCGTTGGAAGAAGGCTGACATTCTTGTCTTCAATACCGGACACTGGTGGACTCATGGAAAAACTGCTCGAGGGTTAGGATGCAATTATTTTAAATTTTTATTTTGATTGATCAATGCGTTGAAAATTGTATGCAAAGAATTTTGGAAACTGGTTATGTGTGTTTGTTTGCTTCCCCCTTGTTTATTGAACTCTAGCTTGGTTAAGCAATTAAAAGATTCATGCTAGCATTTGCTGCACAAGAATGCGACCATTTATTTTAAACTTCTCTTGGCAACAAGGAATATAAATATTGATATATAATGCACTATCAAAAATTATGTATTAAGAATAGTTGTACACTTTTATCTAACCTTTTTGGTTTTGCCACATTTTTGTTTTCCTTTATACTTGAATTAGTTTTTATTCATTGCTATGAGTTGGTTTGTCTTTACTCTTTCATTCCTTTGAAATTAAGAAGTCATCAATCTAAAGAAAGAAAGAACAATATTCTTAATTCTTTTCCAAAAATCTAGCAAAAAAAAATGATAGTGACTGATTTGTGCAGGATAAATTACTATAAAGAAGATGATTATCTATATCCAAAATTTGACTCAGTTGAGGCATACAGAAAGGCTATAAAGACCTGGGCAAAATGGATCGATGACAATATCAATCCACGGAAACAGATTGTTTACTATCGCGGATATTCTAATGCCCATTTCAGGTATTGATTTTTCTATATTTTCTCTGACATAAAATCCTTATCTCCTTCCCTTCCCAGTTTATTTGCTATGACATGTTTCTGTAAAAGAAATCAAGACCCAATTGTTTGAGCATCATAATGGAGGAAAGAAAAATAGAAGAAAGAAACCAATAGTACACGACCAGTCCACTAATAGCTCTTTCAACCATATAACATTGTTCATGAATCTTTGACAGAGGTGGCGACTGGGACTCAGGCGGGTCATGCAACGGTGAAACGGAACCGGTTTTTAATGGATCCATCATAGATAACTATCCTTTGAAAATGAAGATAGTGGAGGAAGTGATCCAAGGTATGAAGGTTCCAGTAAAGTTATTAAATGTGACAAGGATGACCAATTTCCGCAAGGATGGCCACCCATCTGTGTATGGCAAGAATACAATGGGTGGAAAGAAAGTCTCTACGAGGAAGCAAGATTGCAGCCATTGGTGTCTTCCTGGGGTCCCTGATGCATGGAATGAGCTGATTTACGCCACTCTAGTTTTTCAACAAACAGATTCAAGGAACTGACTTACATCACCTCTACAAGGAAGCAAGATTGCAGCCATTTGTGTCTTCCTGGGGTTCCTGATGCATGGAATGAGCTAATTTACGCCACTCGAGTTTTTCAACACAAATTCAAGGAATTGACTTGCAATCATCTTTATTTCTTGGGGCTTACTTTTTGTGCAGCAAAGAAGGGGGGAACACTGAACTTCTTGGGGCCTTGACTCACATTAAGAAGGTCATAGAGAACCAAAGAAAGTGTTTTTTTACCCCCTGTGGTACTTTATCATGAGATTAATTGTTCGGATAATACGGAAAGTGTACTTTATAGCGCACATAATCAAGTCAAAAGTTAGTATGATATATAGTGATGTCATTTGCTCATTGCTAAATCTACAGGAATTGTTGTGTGGTTAATGTCGGATTCTCGAGTATTACTAAAAGGTATATATTTTTTTTTATATATATATAATCAACTCAACATGGGACACGGTGTTGTTAATTTTACTTTGTTATTTGTTAATTCGATTATGGTTTTAGAGTAAGGAGTTTGATCCTGAATAAGGCGTACTAGGGCCAGCTTACTAATCATTGATGATATGGTGATTTGAGCTGACAATTAGTTAAACTAGTTTGAAATTAATTTGAGATTTAGTTTGACAATAAATATGTAGATTTTTTTTAATTAGTGAAAAATAGTTGAGAAAGAATAACATCTCATGACTATTAAGTATGGAGTCAATGACATGCTGAAAATTTTCATGTCAAATATGTTGAATTTGATTGGTGAATTAAATGAGTGAAAAATTTTGTTAAATAAATGAGATGATGAGATGAACATGGGTTATTTATAATTTGATTTTATATAATGCCTTAATATATATCTAAGTTCTCATAAGTAATTTTTTTATTCTAAATAAATAAATACAAATTTGAGACAATCATAGTTTTAAATTTTATCAAGTATAAAAATAAGAGTATGTTTGCATAAATTTTTGCGTAAACACTTCTAGAAGAAAAAAAATAGGAAGAGAATGAAATATGTTTCTTTATAAGCTAAAATTATTTTGTGCATAAATTAATTTGTAAAAGCTTTTTTATATAGTTTCTCCAAAAGAAAAATACCAATAACCTTATGCATAAGATAATTTTAACTTATGCAAAAGCTTACTTCAATTTTTCTACATATTTTTTCTTTCCAAAAGTTTTTTTTTTGAAAAAAATTATTCAAATAGGTCCTATGTCAAAATACATTTGGTTTGTGTGACATAAGCTAATGATTTTAATCAAGTTGTTTGCAAACTTGAATTGAATAAATTTTAAGTGAAAAAAAAAATTATTGAATTTAAGTTGAGCTAAATCATTTTTTAAATTAAATTAAGTTTAATTTCACTTGACTTATTTATTATTCTAATGGTTAAGGGTAAACATGATCCAACCTACATATGGATCTAACTCAATCTTTTGTTAATTTGGATGGGTTCAAATATTAAAATTAGGCTCAACATAATTTTTAGGATAGATTTGAGTTACACTTTGGATCGTCTCGAATTGTGCTTCATTCTTTTAAAATGTATAAAATTTTAAAATAATTATTTTAATAATAATTTTTTAAAATAGAAATACCTTTGTGTACATTATATTATATTTATAATGACATTAAAGTATATATTGTAAAATGTATCTTGATTTAAGTTTTATATCTATTTTATTTCATAATTTAACTATGCATGTGATAATATTGATATACTAAGTTAAAACATTGGATTGATTCAATCTCGTCTCATATATTTCGAGTCTTAACCAAGTAGGATTCAGTTTAATAAATAATTTGGTCAATTTTTTTAGCTAAATAAATATAAAAATAAACTCATTCCTTACTCATCCTTACTAATGGTGATGGATAAGTAATTTCAACATTATTTGATTTGAGGATCTATCTAAGAACTAACACATGAAAGTTTACTGCACACCAATGACTCATAAAATGAAATTCACATTTTAATGTATTTTTATCAATTACATTTAGATATCCTAATTATAGTTTATTCTAATCCAAACAGTTTAACATATAAAGATCATAAATCTCCCACTATATTGTCACTACAAGTTAACTTCATCTTCATCATCCTTAATTGATTAAGGAGATCTAGTTGACCCTAAATTATCAAAGCTTAACATAAATCAATGTATTTTAAAAGAAAAATACATGAATTTATAATTCCTAACTAAAAGTTAAGGATTTGTTAGAATAAACTTTTTAATAGGTATTTCTAGAAAGAAAAAACAAAAAGGAAAAATGAAATATCTTCTTCCATAAAATAAAATTAGTTTATGTATATGTTAATTTGTCAAAGTTCTCTCATATAACTTATCCAAAAAATTATAAACAAGTAAATTTTTTTTTTCTTTGTAAAAGTATTTGTGATTAAGTTTCTTCAAACAGGTCCTAAGTATATGTTCTAATAAATTTTGAATTTGAAATATATATATATGTGTGTAAATTTTATTATCATTTTAATAAAAAATAATAATTAATAGTTATAATTTATATTTTAAGCATTATTATTTAGTTTGAAGGAATTAAAAGCAACTATATCAGCTTACCAGGATCAACTAATGATAGAAATTTATACGATATTATGTTCACTAGAACACCACTAAATATAACCTAGAGCAGTAAGAGTGTAAGACATTTTCACCGATCAGGTGCATTGATCCATGTGATACGATTTTAAGTAAAGTAATACGATTTTGCGGTTTTTTTTTTTAGAACAGGTGCATTGATCTGGACTAGCTCAGGAGGAGAACGAACCGATTGGACTATTATTGGGCAATCACTTCTGTCCATGTCATGACAAAATATTGCTTTAACTACTTATGGGCTGCGGGATTAAAGTCCAATTTGCTGAGATACAAATTATTTATTTATTTATTTATTTAAACTGTTAATACAAAAGAAATGCATGTCTAAATTAATTTAATTATAATTTTTACATTTTTGATAGAAATTAAAAGTATTTTTTTATATAAGACAATCTTATCCAAGTTGAATTTGTTCGCCAAAAATGATAACATTTTTCTTTAATTATTTAATACAATTGTATACTCAAAGTTTACATATGATACTATTAATTATCTTGAAATAATTTCACAGGAAAGTTAAAAATTTCGCCCATATAACTAAAATAGTTATTTTGTGTCCGTGCAAGTTAGTATAAATGATAAAGGGTATGAAAGGAAATTCATTTTTTTCTCATAGATGTGTGTTTAAATACTTCTATATAAAAGTCATTCAAAATCTTGTTTAATACACAACTAGGACATGAAAATCCTTGATGCCTTGAGTATTTATGACTAAATAAAAAAAAATAACTAGTTGGTATTTAAGTCCATCTAGTAATTATCTAGATCGAGTCTCTTAGTATTACTTCCCCCAACACGCGAATAGTGCCCAAATCTCACAAGAATAATACATGTCATCCCCTTTTTATTGCTTTTATTGACTACATACACAGTGTTTTTACGATTATCATAATATTTGATTAAATAATCAGATCACATGGGTCAGAAAGTAAAATATCATTTAAAAATACAATGTAATGAAGTACTTCATTCTCAATACATGGACACTGTGATGATTATTAGATTATATTAAATTTTATTTTGTGGTTTATGAATTGTAATTATTATTAGTTTTTAGATTGATGATATAAAAATAATATTATTAAAATTAATTAGTAAAATTAGTTATTGTACTGAAAAATAAAATTAATAATTTTTAGGTTTATTATTGACGACTTTCTATATATATATATATAT